CACTGGCAAGAAACTGTTGAGTAATTGGAAATATGAGGGTTAGTTTTGTTTTTTATTTGTTTACATTTGTGTGGTTTGGAGGTTTTTTTGCTTTTGTTTTTATATTTTTGTTATTTTTTCCCCCTGAAGGATTCAGTGGCTATCTCAACAACCACTGTGAAAAGTTTAAGAAAAACACACATGCTGAAAAGAAGCAATTAAGTCAAAAGAAAGTGAAGTAAATGACCCAAATTATTATCTCATCAAGATTCCTGAAACATTTAACACACACACACACACACACACACACACACACACACACACACACACACGTATGTATATTTCATGATTTAAATCTGCCCTGGATCATTTCAATGCCATAATTAGCATCTAGTTTTCATTCCCTAGTGCTTTGTATCGACCTTGTCAGCATTTTGCCGGTTACATATTTAATATGGACGGGTAAATCACCTCACTCTGGGGTACCTTGTTCAACTTTTTTTTTTTGTATGAATGGTTTATTCTTCAACTTAAGATTTGAGTAACCTATTAGGTCTATTTTAACTTATTTCTACATGAAATAGAGAATCATTATAGTTAAGATGTGGAAAATGTCACCCAACGTTGATATTCAAATTCTCTAATTTCCCTTCATACAGCTTCATGTGTTAGTGAATGTCAATTTCTTCTCTCAATGTATCTTTACTAACCAGACATGAACATGATAGAGAAAGTTTTTCATTATTTTTCTTTAATTATATCCCTTTGGATAATAGTACTATGCCATTTTCAGAGGCTGTGGGATAGAGTGGATAGGTCAGGAACACCTAGGATGGGGTCCTGCTTTGCCCTGTACTGGCTGTGTAAAATCTTTCAAGTTACTTAATCTTTCAGTGATCTACCAATGTTCTAAAATTATATGTTACATAAAACACGATAACCTGCATTGGTAGAGGGAATTCCTATTCCCTCTACCAATGAAATCAGAGGTCTGGTCTCAGATCATTAAAATATAAAGTTATTTTGAATATCCAGCATTAGTCAGGTTGGTCAATAAACATTTAAAGGCTTACTGTGTGCCAGATACTCTGCTAAGCACTGGAGATGCAAAGACAAAACCTGCTTTCCAGCCTCCATGGGGACAGAATGCATAGAGAACTATATATAAAGAAGATATATACAAGTTAAATACAAAATTGTTAACTGAAGGGAGACACTAAAAATAAAAGGGAAGGGGAAATAGAAGTTGGGGCTTGAAGGAAGTCAGGAAGCCAGGTGACAGAGATAAGTAGGACAAGCATCTCAGGTTTGGGGGGACACCCTGTGAAAATGGATTTTCTTGTTCAAAGAGCAGCAAGGAGGCTGGTATCATTAAACTGTAGAGTATATGGAGGGGAATAATATAAAAGAAGACTGGAAAGATAAGAAGGGGCTGGATGATGAAGGGCTTGAAAAACCAAACAGAGAAATTTTTATTTGTTCCTAGAGGTGATAGAGAGTTGCTAAGTTATTGAATGCACGGTTAATACAGTCAGATCTGTGTTTTAGAAAGATCATTTTGATAGCTGAATGGAGGTTGGACTGGAGTGGGGATAGATTAGAGCCAAAAAGACTCACCAGAATGCTACTGCAATAGTCTAGGTTTGAGGTGATAAGGGAAGGGACTGTACCAGGGTAGTAGTAGTGTCAGAAGAGAGATGGGGACACATATAAGAAACCTTATGAAGGAAAAATCAGTATTTATGGATGCAATACTTGGAATTTGAATGTGCATACTGATTTGCCTTTTTGCATCCACTTGAATATATAAGTAAGATACTCTATATGGAGGGGGAGAATCTTTTTTTACTTCCTTTGAGATTTGGAATCTTGTACTAAGTTTGTAGCCCATATTCACCACACAACAACAGTTCTTTTTGCATGGAATTGGGTAGTACCTGGCAAATGTCCCTATTATACATACTAGTAGGGTGAGTAATGGAATTCCTAAAAAGAGGTTCATAAAACCAGTGTTAAGTAAGTTTCAAAGTATCCCAGGTAAGCATACTCTTTTTGGCTTTTCTCTGCTTACCCTTGCCCCTCACTGAAGGAATGTGGAGGCAAGACTTAGTTCCCAAGTGTGCAAGTATGTATGTCTGCCTTAGGTGATAAATATGAAAAAATGTTGCTATTTTAATTTAAAGTAAATTAAATGATGGATTTCAATAGTAATTAATTTTCTTCTTATTCATATCATAATTCATAACTGGAAATGAAATCTTTTCAAATAATCTTGAATGTGTCTCTTTTTTATGTTCTCAATTTACGAAGTTCTACCATGTGCTTTCCCTGTTTCATAAACGATAGGATTGTAGGTGCATAGATCTACTTACCTAGATTTAAAGAACTTAGAGGTCATCTAGTTCACTTTGTCAATGAGGAAACAGAGCTCTACTGAGGTTAAATGACTTGCCCAAGATCATACAAGTAGTAAGTGTTAGAGGTGAGACTGTTCATTCCTCAACTCTTTCCACTGAACCATGCTACCTCTTAATCCATTTACAGCTAATTTAAAATATTAGAAATGTAGCTGTCTACAGAGTTATCTTTGAAGCAATACAGATACTCCAGTTCTTTTGACAGTAGTACTAATTAGCTTCAAATCATTTGCTGATTATTGTCACTGAACGCATGTAACAGCTAACTGACCAGCATCAACATATGGATGTCACTTATACAGATACCAATATTCTTATTCTTCCATTTGCTTGTCTTTCATTAGTTGAAATTTAGGACTGGGTTCCATGTACAACCAGCTCTTGATTATCTTATTTGTCACTTTATGTGGTCACTGTTTCTTTGTCTATTAACGAAGTATTTTAAATACCAAGGCTGCAGCCTTCTCTATATTACCTAATCTGTCTCTAATATATATGTCACTCTGCTGTAATGTGGTATGTAGTTAGAAATTGCAAACCAATTTTAGTATCAGACAGAAAACTACACAGTGCATTCTACCCTACAACAAAAATGATTTTGTATTTTCACTCAGTCTCAGATCTTTTTCGTTGTAAAGTAAAAGGGGTTTTGTTTTTAAAACTTCAGTTGCATTCAATCAACAAGCATTTATTAAGCACCTAATACTTGTACAGCACTGTGCTAAATTCTGGCCAAACACAGACAAAAATGAAACAGTCCATTCCCTCAACTAGCTTAATTATTAGAAGAAGCATGCATACAAAGGTGTGTACACACTATAAACAAAATAAAAATCACTGAGTTTCGGGAGGAAGGGCATTAGAAGCTGAGTAAATCCAGAAAGGCTTCATATAGATAGCAGTTCTTGAGCTCAGTCTTAAAGGAAACAAAATTTTCTAAAATGTGGATGGTGGGAGAGAGTGTATTCTGGCCATGGAGAATACCCAATGATGGACATCCAGTGATGATGATGGAATGTACTTTATAAGGAACAATAAATAAGGAGGAAAGTTTGACTGGACCATAGAGTGCAGAATGAGGATACCAAGGCTGGAAGATTACGCCCAGATTGTAAACTCTTCTGAGAATAAACTCCCAAACAGAAAACTGTCTTCCCACATAGAAATGAATAAAAATGACAAAGAAAAGCTCTAACCTCTAAATGCTGATGCATAAAATGTTCTGCAATTATGAGTCAATGGAGTAATGTTTATTTCAATAGCCTTCTGTGTCACACACAGTGCAACTATGGGTGCAAAGGATGTAAAAACAAAAATAAAACAATTCCTAACCTCAAGGAGCTTACATTATGCTTTATGGATCAGGTGGGGACAAGAGGCCAATAACAAGGCAAATCCATTTCAGTTCTCCATTGCTGATGACAGATTTGATTTGGCTTTTCTCTGCAACTGTGATTCAGGATTGGAGAACAGATGTGAAATTCTGATGTAGAACATTCCTATGGGTTCTCTGTTTATCTCTTTTCCAGAAGAACCTGAAGAAGCAGAGTTGATTGGGGTTTTTAAAATTGCTCTATTAAGTTTGACTTGGATCCCTGCATTCAACATGGAACGTTTGTCACCCAGCATTCATAAAGGAAAACATGTCAGAATTAGGGAAAATGCATATATGTAGGTAGTTCTAGAACAAAAAATGACAAATCGCCTATAGTAGACAGACTTTAAAAGAGTCCATAAACAATCATTTGGAAAAGTTTCAAATATACTTCTATACTTTTTGATCTTATTTTCAAAGTAGCAAACAGCTATTTATTTTTTTGTGAACTGAATCAGTGTAATGGCAAAAATGAAGATCATAAATTCTAGAAGAAACTGAATTTTGTTCATTTTTATTCTGTTAGAAGATCTTAGAAGAAGACTGAAGAAATTAATGTTAGTAGATATAACAGAGTATACAACAGAGTTTAAACATGAATGAAAGGAACATTTAAAGTACTCTATTTAAAACACTAGCAAAAAGTTACATTAGCACTTTGATAAGTATGAATTCCTATGGAGTTTATAGACTGTATTAATTATTTTGTTAAAGGCAAAATTATGGGTAAAACACATTAAAAACTTAATAATTTTAGAGCATCAGAGAAATATAAGTTTAGTACTGTGAAATTGTCAATCATAATGGCAATATGTTATACATGTATACACACATACATTTATACACATATACATGTGCATGCATATACATATGCACACATATGCATATGTGTGCACATACATATGCATGTATATACATGCATATACACATATATTTTGCCTTTAGGAAAGTAATCAATAATAGGTCATCTAGGATTTGGATTAATGGGAAAACATGAATGCATCTATCTATATTATCTATAGCTATACTATCTATCTATCTATCTATCTATACTATACTATACTATACTATACTATCTATAACTGTTATTTGGTATTAATGAATCAAGTCAAATAGTTTAAGAACTTTCTAAAATGATAAGAATACACCAACAATATGAATGGACTTTGAAAGAACAGCTAAGGCTATGATGTGTAACAAGAGTACTTCCCCCCTTTTGTTTTAAATAGCTCATAGTACGATGAATAATAGCGATATTCCTATGGAAACGACCCACTGTGTCAGAGGTCAAGGAGAAGGTTATCGAGGTACTGTGAACACAATATGGAATGGAATTCCGTGCCAACGCTGGGACTCCCAGTATCCTCATCAGCATGATATAACTCCTGAGAACTTCAAATGCAAGTATGTATAATTTGATGAAAAAAATATTACTGGTCATGCCAGCTTGTCCTTTGAGCAGGAAGAGACGAGGAAGTCAACTTTTAACATTTCCAGTAATGAACCTTTTTTCACCCCTGCATGCACGTTTTGATAACAATTAAAAGATGGCAAGAATGATAATTTTTTGGTGTTTTCTTGAGTTTGCAAATTCATTTTGGAGGAGAGTATGGTTTTTTTTTTTGCCACAAAAGGGTGTGGGACTTCCTTTTTCAGACATAATTTTGTATCATGGGAAGCATTTATTGAAAATTATGATAAAAATTAAATATATACAACTATTTAAAGCTCAAGTAAATTTCTCAGAGTAAATCCAAGTAAGCCAAGTTAAATGGGAAACTAAAGTAATTATCTGAACAATTTAAGCCAAAGAAACCTCTTTTTTTTAGCATTAATTGCTATGATATGGATATAATGTTACATGAAATTAGTCATAGTCTATTTTTCTTTTCTTGAAAGATAGACCATAATGCCATGTATGTTTAAACTGACCACTCAGTTATTAGAAGATAAAATGATTGCTTTTGAAAATGTAACATGTTGATAATATTGTCTTTTCTTTATTAAATATAATACCAGTAAGTAATGTTCTTTGACTTTGTTGTAATTAAATTTTGATTAAGGATACTTCTGATCTTTTTTTCCCCTTAAACTAAATGTTTTGGATACATTTTTAATTCTAGTATTTCAAGAAATAGATCTTTGAGCTTAAACTGTTAGGTTTAGGTAACACAGATATTGTAAGTAATTTAGTCAATCTGATACACACACACATACTATATATACACATATACACACATATATATTTATGTATGCATGTATGTATATTTAAAGACAATTTGCCTATGTAGACTGCAGAGCTCATACTAATCTTGTTTTGTTATTGTTCACTTGTTAGTGTCCCATTCCCAATCTTTCCCCCATTCCAAGTCTACATAATTAATCATCCATTATAACTAACCAAGATGCCATAAAATTAGAAGTTAAAATCAAAATGGAAAGACAAAAGAATTATGCCAGATTAATGTTAGATTATGATGTATATTTAAGAGATTATTGTATAAACTGTGTGATAAATATCTAACTTTTCCTTCAGAGAAAATAGAATGAGCGTATGAACTGAATCCATATTATTTCATATCCATGTGAATTATGAAGGTCAAAGTAGTAACTGGGGTCTAAGATATTCAAGTCAGATTCTTTTCCTTTGAACTATTATTTCATGAAGAATTATCCTTTGATTTACTAAAGACAAATGCAAATAAAAAATTTTAAAATAAAGAATGAAAGCCACATTATCTAGCCCAAGATTTAGCCATAGAGTATTCATGAGTTCATCTGCTAGTAGTGTGTTGGCCTGGCAGAAATGTGGCACATTGGAAAGTTTCTTATTACTTTTGAAATACTTTACATCAAATTTCAGTACCATTAAAACATTCTTTCTTCCAGATGCTGAATCTTTTTTTTTAAATGAGAGCTTTGCCAAGATATATTGTTTAATGATACTGTTTGTGATGAAGTAATATGAATCACATAATTACCTCTTCCTTTTATTCCCACTTCATTAGCAGCTGTAAACAATTCATGTTTCAAAAGAGAAGAAAGAATTTAGGAAAAATATTAGGGTGAGCCTAGTCTTCTTTTCTAGCTCAACCCCGATTAATGAGGTGTTTCCGGATTTAGACACTCACCTCAGACACTATACAAAATTTGGCATTGGCAAATATGGAGGGTTACTGTGTACCTCATGCTTTCATTTAGTTATTTTGGGTCAAATAAAAAAAACAAATCTTATTTCACCAAATACTTATTTGTTTAAAATTGTAAACTAAGCACATTTTATGTGAAATTTAATATACACATTTCGTGCTCACACATAATTTATCAAAATGTAAGTATGTGGTGTCACAGAGAAAAAGACTTTTACTCTTATTAATTTTTTCTTAATAATTGGCTTTTTCATAAGAGCTAGAGCAGCCAAAGGTTTGAGTTTGGTCTCAAATTATGAACACATGCCATTCAATGAGTTTGAAACTTTGGCAATCAATGTTCTTACATCCTTAAATGAAACAGTCTGTGCTAGGACTTAAGGCAGTCAGAGAAATGAAATGAGAGATGGAATAGAAGTGGTTGCCAACCTGAAACTGGGTTGATGATATGGTAGCTTCACTGTTGTATATTATAGCCAGTTACATGTTCTTTCCTTTAAAAAGTCCTGTATTTCAGGTAGGCTTCTTAGCTGTAAATGAGTGGTTATGCCACATAAAATCACTTAAGTTTTTAAAAATCCTAGTTTGCAATAAACTTTGAAGTGCTTCAGAAATATTTTCTTTTGTAATAAGAACATATGAAATCTTATGATAAAATTAGCTTTCACTGACTTATAATGTCTATGAAGGCAAAGAAATAGGGAAAAATTCCCAGAAGTGTACATATTCAAAAGCACATTTGGTTGTTGAGCATTTCATTACAATTTTGAAAGTATTTTTAAAAAATCATCTAAAATTATATTCATCCATTTAGGATTTCAGCATACTTTCTATACTTTTTACATTATCTACTTTCCTAGTTAAGTCACTGACAAAATAAAGAGGATGGTATATTGAAAAACATTTTTTAATGTAGCTACCATGTGAGAGGTAACAAGGTAACAGAGGAAATAGTTTTCTAAAGGCATTTGTCAGAGTCTGTACAGAGGACTCTGTAAATAGAACCCAGATATTACAGAAATTCCCTACTGATTATGAGGTTCTCTAGGTGCTCCTGATCACAGATAACCTTTTAGTTATTCATTAGAGCTCTGAAAAACTCTAGTTTCTCATAAATGAGTTCCACAGTCACTTAAATACTAGAAGTAGTTAAAATATAGAGTCACTTCTATACTAGCAGACAAAACCCAAAGTAGATGAAAATATTGTTCAGCTTATGACATGCATAAGTAAATGTGTGTGGGTTTGTATCTTGAAGAGAATCTAGAAATGGATCATGAGCTGGTCTCAGAATTGGATAGGCAAAAGAGAGGGCACTGGATTACATTTTGGGAACTGTAAGGCATTTTTAATGATGCCAAGCTCCTCTTTGCTGTCAAAGCCCATTGTTTAGTGGTAACAATAGGAATAGGCATTTTTAAACATCTACTATGTGCCAAGTAATATGAAGAGCACATATATTAACATATTATCTCATTGGATCTTCAAAACAACCCTGCTAAAGGTATTATGATTCACATTTTACAGTTGAGGAAATTGAGACAGAAGGAGGTTAGTGACTTGCCCAAGGTTACACAGTTAATATGTATTTAAGCCATATTTGAACTTAGGTCTTCCTGATTCTGCCTAGTGCTGTATCCATTGTACCACTTAACTGCCTCTAAATCCCAATATCATAGTATATAAATACTGAAAGGGAATGTGAAGGTGAACTAGTTCTATCCTTATCAGACTAATAATCCCTTTATTTCTAAAAATTATAGAAAACCCTAATCTCAGAAGAATAAAAATTGTAGGAACCCCAAAGAGTAATGAAGAGATACATGGTAGATATAAGCAGGCACATTACCAATAACGGCTTGTGAGTAGTATATGTGGTATAAAAATGTCATTGAGGATATGTATGACCAGAAAAGGTAGTAGCCCAATCATAAAGTGAGAATTGCAGTCAAAAGGTGGATAGTACAAGTGCTATATTGGCTTTCATTAATAGTAACAAAATTATAGAAGTCATCCAGCCTACTGGGTAGATCCTATGCAGAGGTTTTTTGGAGTGATATAGAAAAGATTCAATTTTTTATAAATCCATCAAAATGTAGGTATACACAAGCACTGGAAATAGAAATAATACAAAAGACAGAACCTGCCTTCAAGGAGCATAACTTATAGTCTAATGGGAGATTAATACATGCACAAAAATTTTAATTCAAATTAAACAGTGAGAAATGTATAGAAAAAGTCAACAAAGATACATGTGGGTTTCAAAAAGAAAGAATTACTTCTAGGTGAGAGAATCAGAAAGACTCCATGGAAGAGGTGGCTTATGAACTGGGCTTTGAAGGGAGGGAAAGCTATTGATATAGATATGGAAGGATCTAGGTATGGGAGGCACTTTGTAAAAATGCACAGAAGTTGAAAAGTGAGAATTATGTAAGTAATATGGTATACTGGTTAAATTTGTTGAGTTATATTTAGATTCCCATTTTAAAACTTTCATAATTTCAAATTTACAGGCTCAAAATTAAATTCTCTTCTATATTGTACTGCTTTTTAAAACATGTTTAAAGGAATAACATGCCTTACCTATCAAATCCATTACCACCATTAACTAACATCCTTCTCAGCTTAACATAAAGTAAATAAAGATATATATGATAAAAAATTGTACTTGTCTTTAAAATACTGTTAATGATATTTCAGTAATTCTTTATACATTGGATTTCATTTATCCATTACATGCATTCTGTGTTTTTAGAAGTATTATAGTACTGATTTCATGAACGTGAAACATCCAATTTACAGTAACATTATTACGTTTTTCATAGAGACTTAAGAGAAAATTACTGTCGAAATCCAGATGGGGCTGAATCACCCTGGTGTTTTACAACAGATCCAAATATTAGAATTGGTTATTGTTCCCAGATTCCAAAATGTGATGTTTCAAGTCAACAAGGTACAGGATCATTATACATTTTGTGTATAACTAAATTAGGTAAGAGTGAATAAATTGAGGACAAGACTGATGACAGGTGCTTCAATATTCTATCTATACAAAAAGTATGTACATGTTTATCTATATTTTTATTGGTCTGTGTCATTTATCTGTGATCTATCTATTAATCTCTAAGCATCTATTTATCTAGAGCATGATATAGTACATAGAGAAACAGTTTAGAAGCCAGGATTCTAGGTTCAACTTTCATCCTTGACACATGATGGTAGTATGACCTTAGGCAAGCCTCTTAATATTTTAGGCAATTCTGTAAGACTATAGTTACAGGGAAGATGCCAGTATACATTGATAGAGGGGTCCCTCCCCTCTAGGGATTTCCCTATACCAATGAATTCACAGGTACATTCCTCATTCCTATCTATCTACATACAGAGATTCCCAAAGTGGGCAATATTGCCCTCTGGGGCACTGGAACATTCCAGGGGGGTGATTGTAGCCTCAGGTTCAACTAGGGGGTGAATAAAAATAAGGAGGTGATGGAAGCATAAGGAAAGAAAAGAAGATAAGAGAATTTTGAAAAACAATTAATATGTTTCATCTGTTGTATAACAGTTAAAGTTGTAGTGATTAAAATATTTTCCAAATAAACACACAAAATGAAAGTTATAACCAATCAGTGGTCAAGTCTGCCAACAGGTCTTAACAAGCAAGTGTTGGCAAATGAGCACATTGTGGGGAAGTCCGTCATGCATTGGCAGGAATATGTGTGTGTAATGACTTCTTTACAGTATGATATATATGATTACATGATGCAATATTGTGTCATCAAAATTTAAATGCAGGAAAAAACCCACAAATTTACAATAAATTATTAAATTTAAGATGCAACATTTAAAAAGATTTTTATTTTTTTTGAAATGACACAAATTTCAAAAAGTCCATTAAAGGGTTAATGAAAGTAGATTTCCAGGGGGACACTGAGTAATTTTTTTTGAAAATGAGGTGATAGGCCAAATAAGTTTGGGAACCTCTTTCTATTGTATGTGTGTGTGCATGCATGTAAGATACACACACACACACACATATATATATATATTTGCAAGGATAAACAAATGTATATTTCTGTCTATAAACAGCTATATAGATAGACAAGTATGGTATTGCATAACCATGTCTGAATTGTCTGGGATATAACCAAGATTGTTCTATGGAATTTACCTCAGTGCTTTCTATACTACAGAGACTTGCATTTGTATTAGGCTGCTTAAAGGCACATGTTCAGTATACTTAATTCAGTCTGACTAATATATCTCTTAAGCCTTTATTTATTCCCAGTGCTAGCTACTGGGAATACAGAGAAAAGAATGACAGTCATTGCTTTTACCAACCATCCTTCCATCTTCCACCAGTGCTGTCTTCCCAGTGTCATTGCTCATTAGCAGCTGTGAAAGAAGGAGTTGGGGATGGGAAATCAGTTGAATCTCCAGTCAGTTTTACTGTTCATTAGATGTTCTTGTAATGGTCAGAACAAGAAGTTGAAACTAATTATTAAAAAGAGGTTTGGTAACATCTGTGTTTTCTACTTGTCTGTGTTATTGACATAGATTTGTTTTGAAAGAGGGGCCAATAGGGTGAAATTAGTATTATTCCTGTATGAGCCTTGGATTTTAGTATTATTAAGCTGCTTTAAGGCACATATTCAATGTATTCAATTTAATCTGACCAAGATTGATTAAGCCTTACTGTTCTCAAGGCACTGTTCTAGGCACTAGGAAAACAAAGAGAAAAATGTCACTGCTTTCAGGGAGTTTACAGTGTAATGAAATGGGCATGGGGGATATGAACAGATGCTCGTGAATACATAGCTATAAAGAAGAATGGGATGAGGGCCAATGAGAGCCATGGAAAATGTTGTAAGAGATCTGCTGAGGCAGAGCTCACTTTCACTTGGAGGATAGGAAAGGCTTCCTGACAGAAGTAGATTCTGAATTGGATATTGAAGAAGGAAAGAACTTTAACAGAGATAGAAGTCTGGTATTAGAGAAAGAGTATCAGTTATGCATAAACAGTGATATAAGCAAAGTCTCAGATGGTCATTGAAGGGGTTTTAATAGCTCTAAAATTATAATAGAAGGGCATATGGAAGATTGATTACTCAGGTAGCGATGGACTGCAGAGAAGATAGGGTGGAAACAAGACCAACTAGAAAGCTACTGTAATAATCTAGGGGAGAAAGGAGGAGGAACTGAAGTAGCATGGATGATTGAATGGATGGGCTAAAGAAGAAAGGAAAGCAAAAGGTGATTTAGAAGTTAAGGGGCAGAGATACTGAGAGTCTGGGAGGCATGTGCTGTCATTAAATAGAGATGAAGTTTGGAGGAGGGGCAGTTTTCAGCGGGAGGTCACGAGTTAATTTTGGGGCATGTTGAGTTTGAATGTGCCAACAGAACATTTCAGGTGAAAGTAATTGCATCAGCATTCATATATGGTCTAATTTAGATATGGTCTGACTTCTTTGATTTTTTGCTTTTGCTTTGTATCCCCAGTGCTTGGTACAAAGTAAGTACTTAAGAGATGCTTGTGGATTGCTTAATGGAATAACTGATTGGAACTCTATGAAGAAGTTGGGGAAGAAAATAGATTTAGAGATTAAGATCTGTATGGAGATGCTAGAGACATACAATTCTCATCATAATTAGGATTTACATTTTATTAAAATAGAATGAAATTATATTACATTATAAAATATTTTTCCTCAATATTGAAATTCATTATTTTTGAATTATTTGGGATATCCCCAAATAAGATCTGTACAAAACACTTATTTTTGGCTCAAGAATTGTTTCAGCAGTAGCAAAATAGTTTTCTGGTAGGAAAAAAGCATTTTTTTCCCCAAGTTTCTGTCACATTGATGGGGAATTTTCATAAAAAGTTTCACGAATAACTATCAGTGAGTCAAATCCACACACTTAAGCTTTCTTAAGTCCTCTATAGAGAAAAATAGAGAAGAAAGAAAACTTTGGGGACTAAATACAAAGTTTAGAAATGCTTATTACTGATAAATATCTGATTATCATCAAAATTCATTTAAATTATATTCATTGATAATAAACAAGTTGATATCCCTGATTTTTTTAATCATAGTATGTGCTAGTGTTAGCAGTTCATAGTTTCTGATTCTGCAACACAGGTAATGATAGTTCAGTTTCAAATGATAATTGTAAGGACATTCTAAGATCATCTTAACTCAAGATTAGATTTTTTTTTACATAGTTAGTTTTAATGATATATTTAAGAAACATTTCCAACAATAATGTTGAAAAATTTCCAATTAAACTTCAGTCAAATTAAGTCCAAAACCAGTCATAAATAAAATTTTCTTATACTGAATGTCTAACTAAGCATAACGTGTGGGTTGTTAGACATGGTACAAAGAGATCTACACATATAAGTTGGTCTTTACAAGTTAATTATCTAAGAAATGCTTCAAGAAAAACAGAAAAGCATATTAAAGACATCAATTTGCAGAAAAAAACCATTATATTCAATAAATACTTATTAAGCACCTACTGTATACAAAGCACTGTGCTAGATGTTGGAGACAGAAACAAAAAAATTAACAGTCCTTGCCTTCATTCTGCATAGGAGGGTAGATACATAGATAAGTACACAGATAAGTAAATGTAAGAAAAAGAATATATTTCAGGTGGCTCAGTGGATAGAGTGTTGAGTCCTACATCTTCCTAGATCTGAGTTCAAACCTGGTCTCAGATACTGTCTGTGTGACCTTAAATAGGTCAGTTAACTGCTGTTTGCCTTAGTTTCCTTATTGGTAAAATGGGTATGATAGCACCTACCTCCCAAGTTTGTTGTGGGGATGAAATGAGATATCTGTGAAGTACTTCATACAGTGACTGTCACAGAGTAGGCATTACATAATTTTAGCCATTATTATTAATCAAATAATCAGCCAATTTGCATTAAGCAACTAATTGGGATAAATTACCATGAAAGGTAAAGTGTGAGATAAGAAGGCATGAAAGACATATTCCCTATCTCCAAGAAGCTTATAATCTAGTTGGGGATATGTGCACATAAAAAGTTAACTAACAATAAGTGGCATTACGATAAATGCCCAGGCAAATATTGGAATTAAGCATGCCACTCATTTGATTACAACTAAAAATGTTAGAAAAATGCCTTAGAATGCCCTAGAACTGTTAGCATTGAAAGGGATATTAATGATGAAATAGATCACACGTTCTTAACCTGACATCCACCCCTACCCCCCACCCCAGGCATATAAAATGAATTTTGTGGGGATGAAGAGTGTGTATGTATGTATTTGTGAACTTGGCTAGGAATTAATTAAATAAATAAATAATGCACACACATATGTATATATAAGTATATATATAAACATACACATATATGTATATACATACACACATATGTTTATTTGCACTAACTAAACGTTACCATTTCCTTCAATTATGATGTTTTTTCTTAAAAACATTCATCTGAGAAGCACATAAGTGTCACCAGAGAGCCAAAGGGGTCCATGACATACACAAAAAAGGTTAAGAATCCATGGCTTAAACCAATATGCAAATTTTAGAGATGTCGGAACAAAGACCCAGAGAAACAGAATAACCTGCCCAAGTTGGCCGAAGAATTAATGGCAGAGACAGGACTAGAACCCAGATGTCTGAATTACTTTTCTAGTGTTTTTTCTACTATAGACTATTCCAATTCCTAAAATGACATTAAAAATTCATGCTAGAAACTTTTATTTTTTATTGCTGTAATAGTTCTTAAATTCATATTTCCTCATTTTTAATATAGGACATCAGTGAAATTGTTTAGATCTTCAACTTAGCTTAGAAAAAAGCAGCATATAATTGTTCCACATTAAAGGCCTTGGACTTTGAGTAGGAATTCTGAGTCATGTATATTGTAAACAGTTTATCTGTAAATAGTTTTTTATTGCATTTTGTTGACTTCAGTTTAGTGCTTCAAAGGAATAATTTTCCTTACATTCTGCAGAAAATTTCTTCAATGATTATCTCCCCATACTTTTATTTTATAATTTAGACTGTTATCGTGGAAATGGCAAAAATTATATGGGAAGTTTATCCAAAACAAGATCTGGGCTGATTTGTTCCATGTGGGACAAGAATATGGAAGACTTACACCGGTGAGCACATATTTATTTATAAAGTAATGAACATATGGTAATAGCACAAATACGGAAGAAAAAAAATATAGTGTGTGAGTGATTCTGTACTCTGAAATGTGCAAAGTATAAAGGTAAACGCAGTGTGAGATAGTGAAAAGAGGGCAGTGTTTGGAGACAGAGGGGCTAGGCACATCTTCCCACTGTCAAGAAAATTAGCAAATGGCATCCCTGGGTTCATAGGACAGAGACTACACATAAGGATATCATGGGATTTGAACATCAGGAGTGGGAGGAGAAGGGACATGATTATGACAGAAATGTGGGATTTAAGACTTTGTGAGGGCATTTCAATTCAAATCAAGAGATATTATTCAGGGGGCAGCTAGGTGGCTCAGTGGATATAGTTCTGGCCTTGGAGTCAGGAGGACCTGAGTTCAAGTCAGAACTCAAACACTTGACACTTATTAGCTGTATGACCCTGGCAAGTCACTTAACCCCAAGTGCATCACCAAAAAAAAAAAAAAGAGAATTATTATTTAGTACTTACTACATTCCAGGTGCTGTTCTAGGCTCTGAGGATAAAAGGACAAAAATGAAAAGAGAGACTGCCTTCAGTCTCTAGATTACATTCTAGAGTTGAGGAGGGGGTGAAAAGTGCTAATAACTGGGAGGAATCAGGAAAGGTCTTATGTAGAAACTGGCATTTTAGTTCAGTGTTTGATATAGTTAGAGATTCTAAAAAATGGGATTGAGAAGGGAAAGAATGCCGGGCATAGAAAAACTTATACAAAAGGAAATGAAGAGCAGCAACTAAAACAAATCGTTGGGAACATAGAGTAAATTAGGGTGATTGATGTGAACTTGGTCTGGAAATATAGGTTGAAGCTGGACTATAAAACTTTAAATGCAAAACAAAAGAATTTGTATTTTATCCTAAAGGCAATTTTTTGTTGTTCAGTTGTTTCAGTTGTGTCTCACTCCTTGTCAGTTTCTAAAGAAAGTTTCTAAAGAAAAGGTTCTTTGAAACATATATATATATATATATATATATATATATATATATATATATATATATATATATATATATACTACTTTCGTATATTGGTGACTCCTTTATGTATCCTATGATTCCTTCATATATCTTGATTCCTTATTACCCCATTTGAGGTTTTCTTGGCAAAGATACTGGAGTGGTTTGCCATTTCCTTTTCCAGATCATTTTATGGATGAAGAAGCTGAGGCAAACAAGGCTAAGTGACTTGCCCAGGGTCATCCAATTAGTAAGTGTCTGAGGCCAGATTTGAACTCAGGAAGATAAGTCTTCATGACTGAAGGCCCAGAACTCTATCCACTGTACCATCTAGCTGCCCAACCCTAAAGACAACAGAGAGCCATTAAAACTCTTAGAGTAGGGGAATGATATGGTCATTATGTGCCTTTTCACTGGCTGTCTCCCATGTGTGGAATGTCTCCTCACCTCCAGCACCTTGAAGACTTAGTTTAAATACTACCTTCTTCAGGAGGTTCTTCCTCTCCCATCCTCCCTTAAAGCCTCATTGCTAGTGCCTTTCCTTCTGAGATTATTTTTCATTTGCACTGTCTATATCTTGTATGCACAGATTTTTTTGAATATTGTTTCTTACATTAGAACAAGTGCTCCTTGAGAACAGACAGTATTTTTGCCTTTCATTGTATTCCTAGCACTTAGCATAGTATCTGACTCATAATAAGTACATAATTAATGAATGTTTTACTAACTAACTTTAGAAATATTAGTTTGGCAGCTATGATGAAGATGGATTGGAGAAGAGAGACAATGGTAAGGAGATCAATGAGGAGGCTATTTCAGTAGTCTAGATGAGAAATAAAAAGGCCTGACACATGTATAGCAGATACATAAGTGAAGAAGATGGAATGTTGTAGACAGAACATTAATAAGATCTGGACATTGACTGGATATAAGGGGACCAGTACAAAGGGATCGAGTTGAGGATAACTTCTAGCTTTTTTTTTTTAAGTCTTGATATTTGATCCTTCTTTCCTTCCTTCATTGGTGACTCCAGAGAAATTTCAGTGGAATTGAGAAGTAAGTGGGAGGTGATAAAAGTAGAGACAATGATGAGAGACTGTCTTTTTTTAGGTGTTTGGGAAAAGGCATATTCACAGGATGCATTCAGGGGTGGTAGGATCCAGTGATGGTGTTAAGGGTAGGGAAGATAATGGGCATGTTTGTATGTAGTAGGAAGGAGGCAGTAGATGAGGATGAAAATTTAGGAAACAGGGAAGGCTTAAATAGGCAAGCTATTGGCGGACTTATATATCAAATTACTTTCTCAATAATGGCCTTAAAGTAGACACCATTAGAAATAAGTCTAGCAAAATACATATATAAAAATCTTACTCAAATAACATTTTGCAATAGGTCTTCGATATTTCTCAGTAGTATTGTATTTCATGAACATGAAGAAGTATGAAGTAATTAAATATTAGTATGATTACGTTTTCCATTTTTATTATATAATTTATATTTTTTGTAATTTGATTTCCCTAGGGTTGGATCTGTTTCCATTATTACTTAAACTCATATTCTTTGGAAAACTGCAAATGATGCAAAATCTACAAACATTTGCACAGATATAAAATAAACATACATTCATATATGGATTTAAATATAAAATATTTTTTTCCTGCCTTTCAAGTCTTTTGCATTTTGGGTGCCTTTATTCTCTCTTTCTCTTCACTTTAGAGGAGCAGTTACAGAATAAATAACAAAACAAACCAATAAAAAGTTGCATATCTGCCCTATGGTTCCTATATCTCTGACTAAAATATTTTAATTGAAAAGGAAAGAACTCCAGTCATATAAAATGAAAGTCTGTGAATTCTTCATGTCCCTAATTTAAGTTGGACATTTCTAAAGAAAGGGTTCATTGAAACATACATACACTTTTACATAACTGGTGAAAGTTTAAGATCTATAATACAAACTATGGGCTGTCTTTGTAATATTTTGTTTTCTTGGAATGAAGATCTTATGATGATTGTTTCATGTTTTTATGCAGGCATACTTTCTGGGAACCAGATGCTAGTAAACTGAATAAGAATTACTGCCGTAATCCTGATGATGATGCCCATGGGCCCTGGTGTTACACAGGCAATCCTCTAGTTCCTTGGGATTACTGCCCAATATCTCGCTGTAAGTGTGCTTGCTTCTAATGTATTTCAGTTGAAATCTTTTAACTATACTGTGTCCATTGTAGTCATATTTATAGGTGTAATTTTTCACATGCTCTGCCCCTGTCCCATCACTCTACCTCTGTGTTGCAGAAGTAGAAGGGGGATTGTGTAGGACTGGGAGCAATTTGGAGTTTCCTTATCCATTAATTTGCATGACATTAACTAGATTGGTACTTGGAAGACAGTCTTTTGCTAGGAACATACCTGGAAACTTCTCAACATGGTAGAACTTCCAGGGCAGCTAGGTGGTGCAGTGGATAAAGTGCTGGGAATGGAGTCAGGAAGTCTCATCTTCCTGAGTTCAAATCTGGCCTCAGACACTTACTAGCTGTGTGCCACCCGCCCCCCCCCCAGCAAGTCACTTAAGAATGAGTTATTAAATTCACTAGTAATTTTAATTTTCTTTAGAATTTAGAAACATATCTTTTGAAATATAGCCCACAAACCTGAAGCTTAAGAAGTTGGTGTATTTTTTTTTCATTTGTCTCTAAGCTTCCCCTTTTTTTTTTTAATCACATGGTTGTGAAATGTGGAACATTTTGTTTTGTGGGGTTATTTAAAATGCATCATGAAGAGTCAGACATGACTGAAATGACTGAACAACAACAGAACTTTCCAGAGCTTGGGTTTTACTAGGATAGCTTTCAATAATGCATTGTCATTTTCATGTCCCAAGGACTTTTTTATGATGCTGTGGAGAGTCTTACAGGACACTATGGATTGGTTGTAATTTGCATTACTGAAGAGTTATGCACATGGATGAGTTCACAGAGCATGGTTTAGTCAAGAATTATTTTTTAAGTCCTACTATTTGCTGAGGAGACAAAGAAAGGCCAGATGCATTTTAAATAACCCAACAAAACAAAAAGTTCGACATTTCACAACCTTGTGATTAAAAAAGAAAGGAAGCTTAAATAATTGACAAGTGAAAAACAGACCAACCCTATAAGCGTTACGTTTGTGGACTGTGTTTCAAAAGATATGTTTCTAAATTTTAAAGAAAATTAAGATTACTAGTGAATCTGACAACCCATTTTTAGCAGCATATCTTCTGTAAATTACATCCTTAGCAATCAGTTAATGGTTATTGAACAGAATATCTAGTGTTTGCAAAAAGAATCAAAATTCCATATGTCAGTATCAATAAAAAAGATATGATTTTCTAATGAAATTTATCAATTTAAAACCAGAACTGTTTCATCTCTTTTTTCTTTTGCTCTTCCTTCTGATACATTTTCCTCCATCTCCCTGTCCTTATTCCATTTTCTTCTTCTTCCATATATATGGCCTGAATATGATGTCTATGTAATAAACACAGGGTAGCTAGGTAGCAATGGATAGAGTGCTGGACCTAGAGTTAGGAAGACTTGAGTTCAAATCTGGCCTCAGACACTAATTGTGTAATTCTGAGCAAGTCACTTAATCTTCTTTGCCTCAGTTTCCTCCTCTGTAAAATGAGCTGGAGAAGGAAATGGCAAACCATTCCAGTATATCTGCCAAGAAAATGGGGTCACAAAGAGTCAGACATGACTAAAAACATCTAAACATCAACAAAAGTATAGTAACACAGAGTTCTATAGCTATAGAATTCCCAGATATACTCCCATGGACACAGCTGACAGACATACCCTAATATCCTGCTGCCACTGAATCTCATAGACTCTCACGTGTTTAGTGAAATTCAGACTCTTAGGTCTTTGCACAAGTATTTGTGCTTCCTAGGTATTGTAGTCACATGTGTGGACTGTCCTCTCTGTTTTTATCCCCTGGAGGATTTTGCGCATCTTCATTGTAAAACATGTAACATGACATCATAAGATAAAGTCTGTATGTGTCATAGAGAATTGATTTTTTTTCTAAATAGGAAAAAAACCTTCACCTATAAAAGTAACATTTAAGTATCTTTTATTATGTTTTATTGCTTCTACACCCTGGGCAGTTCTTTGCTCATACTTTGTACCATCTCCGTCTGGATAGAGGATGTGGACTAAACTTGTGATTTCATTGTTACAGGGAATTATCAAGTAAGGCAACTTTCTGCTAGTTTAGATTAGTGCTGTTTTTACAGCATACAGTGTTAGAGAGGAACCTGGAGCAACGAGAGATTAAGTGACAGGGGAACACTGCCAGAATGTATGTCAGATGCAGGACTTGAGCCTGGGTTTTCTGGGTTACAAGACTGGCTCTCAGTCCAGCAACACCAAATCTGCTTTGTTTGGCACTACCTCTGTCTGGCTGCAGTGAATTAAGAAGCCTTTCCTTTAACTAATTTGTTCATAGCAAAAGAAGAAGCCAGGTAGTATACTGGATACAGTGCTATATTGGGACTCAGAAAGACCTGGGTTTGAATCTTGCCTCAAAAATTCCTCTGCCTGCTTCAGTTTTCTTGGTTTTAAAATGGCAATAATAATAGCACCTAGCTCTCAGATTTAACTCTCAGGGTAAAATGAGATTATATACGAGAAAAATCCATCAAATATGTCAATTAAGAGATCACTGGTAACATTGGAGAGAACAATTTCAATTGAGTAATGAGGTCAGAAACCAGATTGCAAAAGGTAGAGAGGTGAGAATAATTTATATAGCACTTCATATAGAACTCTAAGGTTTGCAAAGCAAACCTTATTCTTCATAGCAGCCCAGAAGTTTCAGATTAGTTTCCAAGCAACAGCTTAAAGAAATCTTATGTCAAACTAAAATATGTATGTGTAGGAATATGTCAGTGACCAGATGAACAAAACATAAAGTATTGAGATACCTTCACAGTCATAGCAATGGAGACAAAGTCTACAAAGCATGGTTGACAAATCTCATGATTTCTGTCTCTAAATCACTTCTCACATCTGACACATTTTTCCTATTCACAGAGCCACCACTTTAGTTCATGCTCTCATCACCTCTTGTTTAGACTATTTCAATGGCTTCCTAATTGTCCCCTCTTGTTCAAGTCTCCCCTTTTCTCACCCATTTTCCACAAAGCTACTAAAGTGAATTTCCTTAAGTATAAATCTGACCATGAAACTTCTTTGCTTGATAAAAAAATTTTGCTTCTGGGATAAAATATAAATTCATCTCTTTGGATTTGAAATCATGTCACAGCCTAGCCTCCACCTATTGTTTGTAGTCTCAATATACACTACTCCCCTTCCTACACTCTACAATCAAGACAAACTTTCTGTTTAGATTCTGTTATAGTCTTTCTGTTCTTCACACACAGATCCTCCATCTCCCATTTACATGCCTTGGCACTGAATGCACTTTGGATCCATCTCTGCCTTGTACAATCCCTTTCTCCCTTCAATATGTGGCTCAAGCATCAGCTCCTATAGGAAGCATTTACAGCCCTTTGTCTACTGCTATTGCCTTCCCTCCACCCCTTGTACTTGTTCTGCATAGATTTATTCCATATATATTAACATCTGTATGTGTTTTCTCCCCAAAAGAATATAAAATCTTTGAGAGTAGGGACTAATTCACTTTTTGTATTGTCTCTCCAGCACCTAAAACAATTCAGATGTTCAATAAATGCTTGCTAACTGATAAAAAAAAAAGCCACCAAAATTGGTTCCTATCACTTCTATTGCTCTCTGGTCCCAAACCAAGGTTACTATTGTTTTTCTACCAACATTCCATCATTACCAAAATATGAATCCCTAAAATCATAGTAAGATTTCAACAAACTCAAGAATTATAAATCAAATACTTCCAAAGTTGCCAAGTACTAAATTTATAATTTGTGATTCAAAATATTTTCACCTGGCTATTACTCATATCTTTGTAGAAATTTTTGGGGATTTGTTTTTGAGGTATTTATCATGGGATCACAGTTTTAGAGTTCAAAGAGGCATTAAATGTATTTTAGAGTAGCCCCTTTCCTTTACAGATAAGGAAATCGAGACTAGAGAGATGAAATGCCTTGACTAATTGGGGTCTTAGAGGCAGGTATTGGCGAATCCAGAATGTGACCTTAGTTCCTGAGGTTCCATAGCCAGTAGTCTTTGTCATATTACCTTAAAAATTAAGCAATTATTTTTATGATATATTTTATTTTTATTTTCAGATTAGATCATAAACAAAATTTTCATTCAAATCTATTATTATCTATTAACATCCACAACCAACATTTATTTAGTTTCTTTCTTAAAATGGTAGAAGAAATTATTACTTGGTATATATAAATTCAAGTACTTCAACACAATTAAATTATTTATTAGACTATAGTAAATGAATGAATCAACAAATGAATTAAAAGCACCTATTAATCACTATGTGCCAAGAACTGTGCTCACTTCTGGGGATATAAACAAAAATTTGTATTAGTTCCATTACTACAGGAGCATCTATGCTGATGAAACAGTGATAGCCAAGAACGTGAGTTATGGTCTCAGAAATAACAAAGACAGTGAGAAAAATAATAGTTCAGTTAAATGACTACCAGAGACAATGGTTTTGATGATTTCATTATAGTTCTCAGGCAAAAGGTGGAAAGTGGGGTAGGAATGGTGTGGCTACAGATCAAAGGGGTGTGCTGGAGTGTGCTCTAGAACCACTTCTTGAGAGCCAATTGTTTGTTTTTCAGGGTTAGTATATCTTGGAGACTGGCAAAAGCTACAGATCAAGGCTTGATGTATTGCTTTGTTGATTGTCTAATCTTAATAAAATGATGGAGAAAATGTAAACAATGTAGATTAAATGTGCATGTGTATATATTTACATATACATATGTGTGTACATGTATGTGTATGTGTGTATTTGGAGAGGCAGTTCTTAAACATTTACCAGCACGTGCTTAGATGGCAAGGCAGACATTGGCCAGCTTGAAGATGAGGTTTCACGGTTTCAGGAAGTTAAGAACTCCATGACTTTCCTCCATCTTGGCATGGTCTCTGTTTGTCTGGTTTAGGGAGTGGAGCAGAAGCAGAAGCAAGGTGGAAGAAGGGAGGGTTAGAAATGACAGGACAGAAAATGTCTAGTGTGAAGATGACTCTGCATGGCCCCACAAGTTGCTGAGAATATGTAATTAATTTCAGAATTTCTACTGTAATATGAAGACAACCTTTTGACTTTTGTATTCTAAATGGCCTCCAAAACAATATTACATGCAGCTTTTAAAATCTCAAAAAAAAAAAAACCCAGATATGTAGACTCATGTTACTTAGACTATATGACCTAACAAAACATTTTTAAAGCATTCTCAAGTACTAAGTTTTATTCCAGTGTCAAATAATACTTGAGGGTCATTTTAAAAAGTGATCAAATGTCTGAATTACTAGCTTAGATTTTACTTTGACATTTTGGGAATCAACATTTGTAATGTCTTCATTATTAAGAAAGACTTTGTTCATTATGTATTTTTGCAATGCTTCTTTTCTTTAAGAAAAGCAGCCTAACCCTTAATAACACAAAATTCTCTTTCCAAGAGGAAAACAGAAAGAAGAAAAAAATGTACCTTGTTTATTAGTGTTAATCAAATAAAAGAGTTAAATCAACTAAGGCTTCTTTCCACATTATAAAATATTTTTCCAACTCAATAATGAACCACAGGCCTTGCAAGTCACACCTTCTTCATAAGATGCTAGCTGTAGAATTTTGTTGTCTTGCAGTCTTTCACATCAAAGCAACCTAGGGAGCACAAAGCTATTCATTTTAGAAAATTGCAAGTAATTGACTTGGGTGGAGAAACCAATAACCTTGATGTTGTAATTTCCCTAGCCTGCACCTCTCCCAACTTGTAGACCTTCTATCCATACCAACTAATACGCTGTCAACAGCTGATTCAAAGACGAAACCCATCTCAAAATAAGCTAAAAAGAAAGTGGATGGAGGGAGGGAAGGGGAATGATGAAATTCATATTCCTACCCTTTCACCAATCTTTCTGTATTTCTAAATTAAGTGTTAGAGAGTAAGTCCTTTATAAGAACTAAATGCCTAGAAATACTTTAAAATAAATAACTCAAATTTGCATCCCTGGAAAAAAAAATCCTTATGTCTCCCTGCCCTCCCCCCCCCTTGCTAATTTATTTGAGTTCGGGTCAGTTCCAGGGATTAACAGCCAGCTAGTGTTAATTGTGCCTGACTGCACCATAGGCCATCAATTCTGAACACCTAGTCATTTAGCTCCAGGAAATGCCTTGTGCCTCATTCATTAGTGCTTAATTATTCCCTATCCCAAGCATCTTCCTGGCCTGTCTCTTTTGCTGCATTTAACCCCCAGTAGGGGATTTGTAAAAAGGAGTGTCTTTTGAAATTGAAATTAATGTTCCACACAGCAACCAAAGAGATCCCCATCCTTAACTTCTCACTATTTTGTAGCATTCCATCCTCAAAATATGAACTTTGAAACATGAAATGGAACTTTGAATTTCCACTCAGCAACAAAATAACTACTACATTAGTAGCTCACATTCAGAAACACTGGAATTTCTTATATACACTTATGTGATATGTTCATTTCCTATAGGTCTGCACGTTTGTTAGTTTAAAATTCAGTCAAATAAGAAAGTTTATTTTAAAGGAAAAATTATAAATGGTAAGATTAAGATACTTTATCTAAAAAACTGAAACAAAGGCAGGCAAAAGTAGTTTAGTGTTATTCATATTTTTCCTCTTAAGATAACTTCGTCCTATTCAAGATAATATATTTCCCAGTACTGGGCAACTTTTGGCATTTCAATAGAAATTAACAGTTATTTCATTTTAGTAATGTAACTGAAACTTCTGTCAATTCAGTCTCCAACTGGCATAAATGCCCAAACCTTATAGCCTACCAAAGAGTTATAAAAGAAACAATGAGAGCATATATATCATCCAGTACTAATACACATAGCAATCTAATTTCTTCCAATAGAAGCAATTTGTAATTACCTTGAAGAATTCTACCTTATTTCTTAAGCTTTAGAGGCATTATAAATACACAAACATATGTCTGCTACATCTATGTTTACAAGCGTGTGTGTGTGTGTGTATGTATGTATGTATGTATTTCTGTGTATATATGTATAAAGGAGAAGGGAGGGAGAGAGGTAGGAGAGAGGGAAGAGGGAAGGAGAGAGAGCGAGAATGTAGCATCTTGAAGTATTTTGTTTCCTTTACATAGCTACTCACTTTAGGAATTTTTCCAGTCATTTTTCATCAATTTTAAAACATTTCATTTACTTTTACAGGTGAAGGTGATACTACACCTACAATAGTCAATTTAGACCGTAAGTAATCTTCATAAAAGCATTTAATTTATACATATACATACACACACATAGACTTATATTTCCTATGTGCCTGTATCAGGATCTTTCATGATTTGCTTAAGTTTTCTTCCTAAGACTTTTCTTATTGTCAAGGTTTTAAAATTCTTTAATTTCATGTAATAGGGAGATAAATAATATCTTTGTAAAATGTACTTGCTAATTTTATTGGAGGATCATTCTATGTGTATGTAAGGGGAAAAGAAAGAGAAGCTGGCAAAACAAATCATGTAAAGTAAGTATTATTTGATTTTGGACATTGTTTTTGTCTTTTAATTTGAATAAGTACTAGAATATCAGCTTGACAAGGGCCAGCATCTATCTTCGTTTATATCACCCATTAGAGATATAAACTAATGCAACTTGCATAATATTCTTGATATATTAGCCATTTAATATATGCTTATTAGGTTGATTTAGTTGTTAGTATAACTGAACTTATGGCCATTTGACTTATGGAGGCACGAGAAAAAATAATTTAAAAATTATTCAGGTGCCAATCTTCCCTCATGTTCAAAATATTATCCTTCCATGTTTCCTATTTTACTCAAGATTATTTAAATCATTTTTAAAGTGTCTACTAAGTACCAAGCTCAGCTAAGCTACTGAAAGCTTTTACATTTGTATACCTTCCTTAGGTAGAAGGAGGTAAAAGGATTATTTCAATTTCACAAATCAAGTGAGTCATACCAAAGTACATGGGAAAATAATATAAATACTTAGGTAATTGGATATGTATGATAAATATAAAAATAACAAGGAGTATGGAGGTCAACTAGAAATAGCAGAGGGTGAGGTAAAAGGCTAACAGAGTTTAATATTTTTTACCTCACAAATGCATTATGAATATAGATTGTAAGTTCCTTGGGGCCAGGGATTGTCTTTTGCCTCATTTTATATCCCCAGTGCTTAGCACAGTGCCTAGCACATAGTAGGCAGTTAATAAATATTTACTGAATTGAACTTTTAAATGCTCACCCTAGAATATCAGAATCTTAGAGTTGAATTCTAACATAATGCTACATCATGAGAATTCACCACATTATGGATTATTAGATATACTATTCTGTTATACTCTTCAGAATTATTCTGTGCTCTTTATCTTATGAAGGAGATGATACTCTTTTGAGAATTATCTCTCTTGGTCTCCAACTTGATGATTGGCGGTTAAATATAATTTAATTAATTTAATCTTTCTCCAATGTAAAGGCTCCTCAGATGTTTAAAGGTAGAAAGTATGCCTCTCCTAAATTTTAATCCTTAACCCAGGATGAGATGCCCAGTTTCTTTTAGCAGTCATCACATGATACTGTTTCAAGTCTCTTTATCATCTTTGTTCCTGTCCCCTGGAAATGCTTCATTTGTCACTGTCCTTCAGAATGTATGATGCCCCAGATTGAACACAGTGCTCCAGTGATCAACCACTGGAAAAAGAACCACTTGTTCTTTTCAAAGTTTAAGAAAAAAATCACTCAAAGATAGTTATTTTACTATGTTGTTGTTCAGTCATTCAGTTGTGTCTAACTCTTCACAAGCCTTTGGATCATAGCACACCAGGGCCATTTATCCTCCATTATTTCTTGATGTCCAAGTTCATGTTCATTATTTCCATGACACTGCCTATCCACCTCATCCTCTGCCTTCCTTTTTTCTTTTTGCCTTCAGTCTTTCCCAACATCAGAGTCTTTCCCCATGAGTCCCATCTTCTCATTATGTGGCCAAAGTAGTTAAGCTTCTGCTCCAGTATTTGACCTTCCAGTGAATAGCATTGATTAATTTCTTTAAGTACTGACAGATTTGATCTCTTTGCTGGCCAAGGGACCCTCAAAAGTCTTCTCCAGCACCACAATTCGAAAATGTTGATTCTGTGGTGCTTAGCTTTCATTACAGTCCAACTTTCATGGCCCTATGTAATGTAATGCTACTGGAAAAACCATAGCTTTGACTCTGTGGACTTTTGTCAGCAGGGTGATATTTCTGCTTTTAGTATGCTGTCCAGATTCACCATAATTTTACTTACAAGGAACAAGGGTCTTTGAATTTCATGGCTGCAGTCACCATATGCAATGATCTTTGAGCCCAAGAATATAAAATCTGATGCTGCTTCCATTTCTTCTCCCTCTATTTGCCAGGAAATGATGGGACCAGTTGCCAAGATCTTAGTTTTTTGATGTTAAGCTTCAAGCCAGCTTTTCTTGACTCACATATTGCTGAAGCCTAGCTTGCAGAATCTTAAGCATAACCTTGTTGGCATGTGAAATGAGTGCATTTTTTCAGTAATTTGAACATTCCTTTGCATTGCCCTTCTTTAGGATTGGGGCATAAACTAATCTTTTCCAATCCAGTGGCTACTGTTGAGTTTTCAAATTTGCTGGCATATTGAATGTAGCACTTTAACACTTTAACCTTTTAGGATTTTAAATTTATCAGCTGGAATTCTATCATCTCCACAAGCCTTATTTTTAGCAGTGCTTCCTAAGGCCTATTTGATTTCATTCTCCATGATGTCTGGCTCTAGATCAGAAACAACACCATAGTGGTTATTGATGATGTTAAGATTTTTCTTGTATTATTATTTTGTATATTCTTTCCACCTCTTCTCAATCTTTTCTGCTTCGCTTAAGTCTCTATCATTTTTGTCTTATAACATGCTCATTTTTGCACAAACCGTCCCCTTGATATCTCCAATTTTCTTGAAGGGATCTCTTGTCTTTCCCCATTCCATTTTTTCTTCTATTTCTTTGCATTGCTTATTTAGGAAAACCTTCTTCTATCTCTTTGCTATTCTCTGGAATTCTGCATTCACTTGGGGATATCTTTCCCTTTCTCCTTTTCTTTTTGCTTTCCTTCTTTCCCCAGCTATTTCTCAAGCCTCATCAAAGCCATTTTGCTCTCTTGCTCTTCTTTTTCTTTGGAATGCGTTTTTTGTTGTTGTTGTTGTTATTGTTGTTGCTGTTGTTGCTGCCTCCTGCATACTACCAACCTCTGTCCATAGTTCTTCAAGCACTCTATCAGATCTAATCCCTTAAATTTATTCATCACCTCCACTTTATATTCATAAGGGATATTATTTAGATTATACCTAATGTGGTCTGATGGTTTTCCCTACTTCCTTCAATTTCTCTGAATTTTGTAATAAGAAGCTTATAATCTGAGCCACAACGAGCTGCAGGTCTTGTTTTAACTGACTGTACAGAGCTTCTCCACCTTTGACTGCAGAGTATATAATCAGTCTGGTTTAGATATTGACCATTTGGTGATTTCCATTTGTAGAATAGTCTTTTGGGTTGTTGAACATTAGTGTTTGTTATGACAAGCAAATTATCTTGACAAAACTCTATTAGTCTCTGCCCCACTTCATTTTGTACACCAAGGCCAAACTTGCCTGTTATTCGAATTATCTTTTGATTTTCTACTTCAGCATTCTGATCCCCTATCATTGAATGGTTTGCCCTGGATTCAAACAGATATTATTCTGTCATTTGTGAGATTATACCCCAGTATTGCTTTTCTCAGCCTTATATTGACTCTGAGGGCTACTACATTTCTTCTAAGGGTTTCTTGCCCATAATAGTATATGTATGATCACTTGAATTAAATCCACCTATTCCCATACATTTAAGTTCACTGACACCCAAGATATCAATGTTTAATCTTTTCATCTCATGCCTGACTACAGCCAGCTTACAACTTGGTTTATAGATCTTCTATTACAGGTTCCTATGCAATATTGATCTTTACAGTATCAGACTTTATTTTCATCACCAGGCATATCCTCAGCTGAGGTTCCTTTCAGCTTTGACCCAGCTGCTTCATTAGCACTGGAGCTACTTGTAGCTGTCCTCAACTCTTCCCCAGTAGTGTATTGGATATCTTCAGACCTGAGAGGCTCATTTTCAAATGTCATCTCTTTTATCATTTTAGTACTGTCCATGAGATTTTCTTGGGGAAGATACTGGAGTGGTTGGCCATTTCCTTCTCCAGTGGATCACCTTTTGTCAGAACTCTTCACTATGACCTGTCCATCTTGGGTGACCCTGAAGGGTATGGCTCATGGTTTCATTGAGCTATGCAAGCTCCCTCTACCATGACAAGGCAGTGATCTAAGGGGGTATCTTACTATATCTCTAGGAAACATATTTCCAATCACTTAATTATCAGTAATATTTTAAAAAAATCTTTGGGAGTTTATAATTGTGGGAGCCATAGTATAGAAGAGGGGACACTGATCTGGAATCAGGACAGTGCTGGGTTCATAGCCTGTCTCAGATCATCATTAGATAAGTTAGCCTGAGGAAGTCACTTAACCTTTGTCGGCTTCATTTTCCTCATTTGTAAAATAAGGGGATAGGGCTCTATGACCACCTTGACCCTTTCCAAGTTTACATCTATCATGCTACAAAATTCTGATAGACTTGAATTTAGAGCAAATGCCAAAAGAATCAGTGCCTAATGCAATTGTAGTAGAACGTATCTTGATCAGTAAACTGGCTTTTCACACCATTGCCATCTCCCAGACCCCACATAATAGTGAGAGTGGGAGGACAATGTGGAATTCTTGACTGGGACCGAGTTTCTTGGTACTATGGATCATCATTTATGAACCCTCCATCCCACACTGACCTATCTGCTTTGGAATTGCTGGTTTAGTTGTTACTAATTTGCATAAATTGAAACACATTTTTGTGGGTTTTTTCAGCAAAGAGATTTTCATGAATCCCAGAGAAGTAGGCAGAATAACTCACTTTCCCTCCCCACTGTTTGTGCTTGGAATTTCTCTCTATTTTCCCCTCTTCTTTACCATTTTCTATTAGTTGGGACAGCCCCTTCCTCTGTACCCCAACCCTTATTTCTTAGCTCACTCTAAGATTGGTTAAGAATGACAGCATAAGAAACAGGACTGATACTTGCTAGGGTGAAGGGGGGAGGGAAGGAATAGAGTTTAAGCCATCACAACTGTTCCCATTTCTATTCTTCCAAATCCTCCCCTACACCTACTACCAGTTCTAGAGTTACTAAATTGGATATCAGTCCCTCAATTGCAGAATTAGTCTCATCAGCAACGTTCCTGGCACTAGAGTCACCAAAATCAATTCATCAATAATGAAATCATCTAGAGTTTATCCGATGAGTGTTAGAGCAAAGGTTCTTAACTTGGGGTTCATGACTTTTTTTTAAACATTTTGATAAATGTTACAATATAATTTGCCTCCCTTGTAATCCCATATATTTCATTTTATTCATTTAAAAACATTATCGCATATGATGATGAGGTTCTGTTGTGCTATTAATGGTAGACTGCTGTTATATAGATTATAGAATACAATTTGGTAAACGGTATTTTTAAATTAAAAAAAACACATTCTCAGTTTTAAGCAATCAATTTGCAAATGATGCTTTGGAATATAACCTATGCATATATTTGGACTTCATGCATGTGTATTGTTTTTAAATGCTATGTTTGGGACTATTTTTAGATCCTGTCATTTCCTGTGCAAAAACAAAACAGTTACGAGTAGTAAATGGAATCCCAACACAAACAAATGTGGGATGGATGGTTAGTTTGAAATACAGGTAATTATTATATTTCAGGCAGAATACCTAAATATGTATTCAGCTTATTAATTTTTTAAAATTTCTTTAACTTCCATTTCTATTATATATAAGCATATATAAAATATATACATATACATATGTATGCCAACAATAGCTGGCCTCCAGTATGTGTATATATACATGTGTGTATGTATATGTGGTTATGTATGCATATATATATATACATATATAAAAACATATACACATACATACATGTTTATGTATTTGTATATTCTCAATATAGAACCTTTCATCTAAATGATCTACACAATTACTTATTCTAGAGCATATCACTTTTGTTACTGTAAATCCATTTATGTCATATATTATATCCAGAATTTAAAATACTTTTGTTTTAGGGATTTATCTCTAGAAGATGAATGGTATAATATGATTCTGTTGCAGACTAATCTTATAAAGGAAAATGGGTAGAGAGCCTATTTTATTCATATTTTTATAACATTATATAAATCAAACTGGTTGAGAAAAAAACAATAGCCATCAGAATCTAATATTAGAAATTAGGAGTAGGGAGAACTGTAGATGCTATGCACTTTTCCAGGGGAGATATATTTTTAGTTCCAGACTCCTTTTTTAAATATTATTCATTTAATTCCATTAATGAAATATTTATTAAAAGCCCAATATAAACAAGGCACTAGGCTAGGTGTGGAGCTACAAAGCCGTAATGAAAAACAGTCCTTTTATCATTTAAACAGTTCTTGTATGCCTGTGCCTACAATAATGTAAATGAAGAGAACAACCACCACGAACACTGAACATTTTACACTTTACAATTATAATGAACAACATTGTTCCTGAAGAAGAACTGAGAAAATGTACTTATGTTCCTTTTTTTTTGAAAGAGGTTGAGAAAATTGTAGGAAAATTTTACATTTATTGTCAGAATAGATTAATATGTTGACTAGTTGTGCTGAATTGCTTTCCTCCTTTCTTTCTCCCCTAAAATAGGGGAAGAAAATGGATACATTTGGAAATTATGGTGCTGTAAAAGAAAAAAAATCCATAGTTTTTTGATATTTTTTAAAACCCTAAAAACAGCCCCTGCCCTCAAGGAGCTAACATTCTACTGGTTGCTACCATAGACAATACACAAGACTAAATAAAGCATTCTTGGAATTTTTACCTTCATTTTTATTTCTTTTTTTATGTTATCTAAATTCTGATTCCTCATTTTAGCACATAGTATTTAGATTACATTGTATGTTACAACTATGCAATTCGTACATACATACGCACATAATGCTTACATATACTTTATATAGTAGAAGCATCATAATTAGAAATTAGCATAATGAAATTAAAAAATCATGTAATACATAATATTGAAGATAAAGACCAATTCTGTTATCGATAAATGTCTATATAGAAATAAGTAAATTCTGAATTTGTCTGATTGGTGGTTGAGTGCAAACTCACCTCAGCCCTTTATATCCAACCTGTGCTAGACCATATATCATAGTCCATCTTGCCATCCACCAAGGCACCTTGCCCTCTGGCCCTTTTCATCTGGCTTTCACTTCTTCTCTTGTACTTGGAATAATAAACATATCAGTACTCTCATTCATACTGGGAAGGGTGTGACAATTTACTGCTTTTAGCATGTGCTTTAATAAATGTCTGTTGAATCAAACTTGTTATGTTACTTGTTACATTTTCTTATTGCTTTCCTCACAGAAATAGGCATATCTGTGGAGGTTCATTAATAAAAGAAAGTTGGGTTTTAACCGCAAGACAATGTTTCCCTTCTCGGTAAGATGTCTATAAAATTAAATATTAATCTAGAATAATTTTGATTTTGTTAGTTTTTATTTTGCTGTTAATTCCATTCATGTATATTTATTGCTTGGAGATATAAATCAAGGAGACAGTACATGATTTACTACTCTTATTTATATTTTAATCCACAGACTTTGCTCTTGGCCTCATTTCATTTGGCATTTGGAAATCTGCATATGCATTATCCTTCAAATAAATTCTTATGAAAATCAGCCTCAGGAGGGGGAGAGAGACAGTATATTATATGCCTTAAGAAATCTTCCACCTCACCTACTTCTTAGTAGACATGATTCTTTTTCTTTCCTTTTTTTAAACTAGTAAATATCTTTGTCAGTGTTTTTTTTTTCATTGCAAATTTAAATTTATCAAAATTATATATTCATTGATTTTTTTAGACATGTTTAAATTGGTGGAGGTTAGCCTTGGTGAGGAAAATTCTTAGAAACTCTTCTGAAATAGCGGCTTGGAGCATTGAGGAGGAGCATTGCCCAAAGTCTCATAGAACCAGGTTGTGTCAGAGGTGGGGATTTGAACCCAAGTATTCTAAAGATACCGAATTCACAAAGCACTTCTAAGTCTACTTTGTTGCATACGTGGCACATCCCCTAACGCATAGAAGATAAGATGTAGAGCTGGAAAAGACCGTACCTATAATTTAGTCCAGGCTCTCAGGCCCAGAGATGAATTCTGACTAGATAGAAGTATGTGGTAGAGCTTGAATTTAAATTTCACTACACTGCAGGCTATAGGGATTGGTAGGAAACATGTAATTTAAGCTACTCTATGGATTGCCTTGGTATAACTGTGCTTAATCAGGATCTCCACCTACAAATGTGTTGTCCTCCACACTGTTATATTGCAGACTGCAGCCATTTTGAATTGCATTTGATTTTTGTTATGTTATGCAAATAGACCAAGAAGAATGCACACATATAAAGTAAAAGCATATCCACAAAAGTCATACTAAAATTATATATTACATTTCAATATTTTATTTAGAACTAAAGATTTGAAGGACTATGAAGCTTGGCTTGGAATTCATGATGTTCATGGAAGGGGAGAAGAGAAACACAAACAAGTTCGAAATATCTCTCAATTAGTATATGGACCTGAAGGATCAGACTTGGTTTTACTAAAGCTTGCAAGGTCAGTACTTAAAATTTGAAGATTATTTTGAAGATATATTATTTTTTTTCTTAACTTAGAAAGAAGTTGATGGGTCTTAATGCTGATGTATACTTTTGCTTTCTTCTGTAGAAAAACTTCTAAAAATGTTGAATAAAATCAAGTGTGTTGGCTTTTTTTTCCCCCAGACCTGCAGTACTGGATGACTTTGTTAGTACAATTGATTTACCTAATTATGGCTGCACAATTCCTGAAAAGACTACTTGTAGTGTATATGGATGGGGATACACTGGATGTAAGATATTTAACTTCCAATTAAAATGCAATATTGCTTATTTAAATAGGACTTCTATTTAAATACTATGTTATTTCTCTACTTATAACTTATTTTAACTTTTTTTTTATTTCAGTAATCAACTTTGATGGTCTCCTTCGTGTAGCACACTTGTTTATCATGGGAAATGAGAAATGTAGTCAATATCATCAAGGGAAGATCACAATGAATGAGTCTGAAATCTGTGCTGGGACTGAAAAAATAGGAACAGGACCGTGTGAGGTAAAAAGATTTATAAATCTAGAATGTATAATAGGAATTATGTTCTCCAGTGTATTTCCTTTGGATTTTTCTCATATTAAAAAAGTCTGTACTAAGTATACTATATTATTATACCAGAATAATCCATCTCATTACTTTAAATGACTCCATAAAAACATGACATTATAAAACTAAAATTACAAAGGGAAGTTACTTCCATAGGATATAGGGGTGACTGAATGGCATTTCTATAGGCTTTGCAATATTATGGTCTGTTGTGATTATAAGGTATTAAAGGCTTTGTGAAATGGTATTATTCAGAGTAATTGTTCGCGTTCTTTGTCCCCTTTCCCCCAAACATAAAACAAGAGATAAACCATGCCTGCTCACATTAGTAAAAATCTTATGAGCATTTGGCAAGTAAAAAGAATGACATCTCAACCTGGAAGAAAACCTAAAACTAAGGTTGGGTAAATCCTAATATCTCGCCACTCCCTCACCACCAAATGTATCCCCACTTAAATTAGATTATTCCCTAACCCTTGAACATGCCCCCTGCTTTTGAAACTTCCATTCAGTGCATACTCTCCTGTTAGATGATAGAATTATTTTTAATTTTGTTTGTACGGGATTAAAAATAAATGCTTGTGTATAACCTCATCTGATTACAATGGACTGTATTAAATTACAAAGGACTATCTTTTTATCTCTAAAATAATGCTGTTTGCTATGCATGTCCTTTTCCTAGGGAGATTATGGTGGCCCACTGGTTTGTGAACAGCATAAAATGAGAATGGTCATTGGTGTTATTGTACCTGGTCGTGGCTGTGCCATTCCAAACCGCCCTGGGATTTTTGTTCGAGTAGCTTATTATGCAAAGTGGATTCACAAAATCATATTGACATACAAGGTACCTCAGTCATAGCTGAAATAAGTGCGGCTGGAGCCTCCAACCACTGTAGCTCCTCTTACAGAGCGCATGAAACTAAAATGTCACATATAAAAATCCTAAAAAAAAAACAAAACACAAAACACCCTACTTGACTGTCAAGTTTATTAAGATACTCATTGATATTTATGAGTGTTTTCTGTCATTCTCTCCGTCAGTGTTATTTTGTAAATGTTGAAGTGAATTAAGGTATGTGCAAGTATAGTAACATATCTCCTGAAGATACTTGAATGGGTAAAAAAATTACAAAGTTATTATTGCTAGATGATAAAAGATTTTTAAGGAAACAGATCAATTAAATTCCCTATGCCACTTTCCAAGTTTAGTACCTTAATAATAAACCACAATTTAAAAATAATATTATGTCAAACTCATCACCACTATATATTATCTTCATCCTTAAAGAGTTACTTTTAATTAAATTACATTCCATTATATCATTTAAGATAACCATTCTCATTGTTTTCGTTCCATACCCTCTAACACCTTTATGTGTGCCTGCTCATGCTCACGCACAGGCACACACATGCACACACACACAGAGTCATGGCATGTGTTTCATGGTCATCACCATTTTGGAACCATGTAATTCTGGTCTCTTGTCAGGCAGTAAAGCAGTTTCTCAAGGCTAGAGAAGAAGGATACAGAAGAGTAACAGAAATAAAAGAAATTAACTTAGTTTTTGTTCAAATATGCAGTATGTTAGCACTACTAAAAGTTGATTGGCATCTCTGCAATCATAACCTACTGAAGACTAAGAAGTCCTATTCTAGGTATTTGCCAACTCTTAGCATGTTAGGTGCTTTGTTGGTGGTTTCATAGAATAGATATCCATATAATCTGTCCCCACTTAATTCAAGTCCATTTATTTATGCAAGTTACTTATATCTCTCTACCTAAAGAATCTTTTGGATTCCATGTAGATACATAAATTAAGAGGAAAAAGTTTATTTCTTTCACAAAAGATGCTCTAAATAAATTATTCCTTTTCTTATATTTAAACAATAAAACAGGTCAATTCTTTTAAAAACTCATGGTGCCAAAAGAGTACCAAGACTACCTTAAGAACAGTTATTGAAATAATTTGATTGGTATTGGAAAATATTTTAATCATGTAGCTCAATTCTATAAGTAGCCCCTCAATGTGGACTTATTAAAATTGGATGGAAAATCCTTCTCCTGATCCAATATGTTTCAGGGGATAAAATCATGTATTTCGAGGCAGAAGACCTTGGTTCAAATTTGTTTTTGCCATTTATAATATGTATTAATGGTGGCCCTCTTAATCTCTCTCTGGGTTCCAGTGCATGATAAGTAAAATAATGGAGTTGGATAAGCTGACCTTTTTATTCCTCCTAGCTCTAAGACTATGATCCCATAAAGGAAAATTTATTTAGAGGAGGAAAGAACAAAATTATACAGGAAGCCATCTTTAATGATGAAATGGAATCATTCTAGTATGGCATTGCATCAAGTTCACCGTGAACTGATCTGTTCAAAAGCTACAAGATATTTTTGATGAAATTTTTTTACTTAGTTTTTAATAAAGAAGACCAACAAGGTCTTTTGACTTGGCTCTTCATGTATAGATTTTGTTTGGAAACACACTGTCTGAATTCTGTCTTACTGATTGCAGTCCATTATGATAATGAGTAATGTGGCAAATTTCTCACAAACATACAAATAATCCTTCAGAATTTGAGATCATTGGGAGCTATAGTTATTTACTCATTTGGTACTGGCAGGATACAGTCCCTATGAAATTTTATTGCTCTCTATCTCTGTGTCTTTCTCTATGCTTGTGTCTGTCTGTATTTCTTTCCCTCTGTCTCTGACTTTGTGTCTGTCTCTGTCTGTCTTAAAACCCAGAACCACAACTAGGTCCTAGACAGCTTTCACACTGTTTAATCTTTAACATAACCCTCTTTGAAACTACATTGAAGTGTTTGGGATAGGACCCAGTAAAAAAGAATGAAAACCTGGTTGTGAGATAACCCATTCAATGAAGGATGCTAGAACTGAGAGAGATGTGTTGAGATCCTTCAAGAACAGAATCAGCAGGCTTAGAGCTTGCAGGGAGTTAAGCAAGTAAGATGAATCCATCCCAAATCTCTTGGTTTCATTCACTTTTGCTGATCACCATTTTAGCCAGGCAAAATGTAGTATGTTGGAAAGCAGACATATATGTTCAAATGCTTATCCTTAAGATAGTCATGGTCTTGGTATCATTGTTTGTAGCTCACATATAAAAGACTATTTTTAAAAAGTTTTACACAATGCCTAGATACTTCAAAAAAACTTTTCCCTGTATCTTTGAAAAACAAACACTTCACTGTCAGTTATACATTCCCATGAATGGGAAAATGAATAGATAGGTAAAGTAGATGTACCTAGACACATAAGACATAACTCTATCCCTTTAAAAATATGTATTCTTTATTCTCAAAAACTGACCCCTCCTCAAAAACATTGGCGTAATACCTTGGTCTAATTCTTAGAAAACTTACATTTGTTTTGAAGTGAACTCTGGAAGGTATAATAATAATTTAAAGAAAGAGAGAGAGAGAGAGAGAGAGTAAGGACAAGAGACCAAGTCACTTTTCACTAGTATGATAATGTGTAATCACATTGATAGTTTTTGGTAAAATACATAAAAATTTATTTTTTGATTAATGTTCTTTATCTTGAATAAAGTATAACACTAATAAAATTTATATATCTTCCTTGCAACTCTAAGATATTTTTTGGGGAAAAAAAGGAAATAACAAGTTAATTAGGATGAAACATTATTTTGAGCTATCAAGAGAAAGGCTTCTTAGATTAAAAGATCACAATTGTTTTCTGTTTTGACAATTTTAAAAATGGATATTTCCTAACTGATGCATTTGTAAGTACTCTGTTCTACTAAGAATAATGTTAAAAAACCTAAAATATGTTATTATCCTTCTGCTGGGCAGAAGGCATACGACCTTTTTATATACTTTTATTGGGGGGAAGTGTTATTATATGATGTGTAGGGATTTTTTTTTACCTGTTTTCTGTGGCAGTGCCTCAGTAAAATGGTTTATATGGAGTCAAATCTCTATAACAGGCTAGGGCTTGCTATCCAAGTGTTCAAGTGATTTCAAGATATAAGGAGGAACATGAGACACTGGAGGGCAAGAAAAGAGAAGAATAATGATGTGATAGTAAAGTTATATTTCACTTATTCCTGTGAATATTTCTGGTTGGTACCAATGGTACTGTACAAAGTGAATGTTATAGCCACAGCTTTTTCTTTAAAAGGAATACTGTCAAGAAATGAAAACACTTTATTTGTTCAAAAGTAGGTTTGCATCCAGTATTTCCCTGATTTTTCTGTGCAATTTGCTTTTAGAGAAGAATCATTATATTCATGATGAAGAAATGATGTGTCAAAGAGAATATAGGACACTACATTAATATACACCCTAATGACAGGATGAATCCAAAACCCCATCATAGGTCTCTGTAGTTTTTGAAGGTAGCCATTTTGAAGACAAATTATTCAGTATATTTTGTAAATAAACTTATTTGAGAGAAGGGGAGTTTCATGTCAAAGAAACAACTCTTGTGCCTTTGTATGTATTTTTTCATGAGAGAGTTCAAAACCAAAGTTAATTTTCAATCTTTAAAAATAACTATAACCCTTAGAATTTCAAAAAGGAAATGTAAGCCATGAGAAACCTTTTGAACCCTAAAGTCTTGACAGTGTGCCTTTTAAATAGGCTTATTTCCATTTGCACAGAATGTGTTTGTCTTTGAGAACCCATAAGTGGAATACTGTGGATGTTATGACCATTTGTCTTGCATGTAAATAGGAAAATAATAATGCTGCCTGTTGAATGGGTATAGCTGGAAGCTTACCCAAACAAGGGAACACTGTGGTTATGACTTGTATTATAAATTTTCTGTAATTAATGACATCATTATTAGTTAATAAAGTTATTTTTGTAACCTTGTTTATTATATTGTTATAATTAATAATAAAATATTTTACCTAGATGCTTTCTGTCTTTTATTTCAATTAATCACAGTATTTGGATATTTTGGGTTTAATTCTTGAAAGAAATCTATTGAGGCTAAACTTTCACCTGGGATACAGACATTGATAAACAATATAGTTTGCATACTTTGTAATTAGAAAGTAATACTTTATCTAGCCCTTCAATAGAGACATGTTACTATCTTCTTGTTCTCAGCATAATCTATTTCCTTGGGCAAATAATTAACATTCTGGGTTTCAGTTTCTTTCTCTGTAAATGTAAAAAAGATATTTTTGTTCCTTATTTCTCATGATTTTTGTGTTTTAATTAATTGATATTTTAAAACTGTTGCCAAGGTACTTATAATAAATTGTCAATCAAATTCCAATATAAAATACATAGATAATGCTACTTTATAAATTTCTTAAAAGGTAAAATAAAAAAAATTAATAAAATATAATCTAAATGAAAGTTATTTTTCTACAATTTGGAAATTTTTTTAAAAAAACCAGCAGTTTTACTCATTTGAAGAACTAATATTGCCTAAACTGTAAGTGCCCAGCCATTTCAATGACAAGGAATTATTTCAATTTTAGATTATATCCTGAAAAAAAAGTTTGTCATTTCAAATTTAGATTTTGATCAGAGATGGCATACAACACATCTTATTTTATGTTTAATTAAATATAATAATATATCTGAACTTAATAGTGTTTATTAATTAAAAAAGAAGTTTATAATCTTACAATTGTCATTGTACCATTTAATAATTCACCTCAAAATCCAAAAGAAATTTACTGAAATTAATGTTTACCTCTTTGTTTTGGGGACTTTCTTCCAGTAATATAGATTGAAACTTATCTATCCCTCTCTATCCCTTTGGCCAATGAAACATATCTCCCCAAATGTTCACCATAGGAGGTGGTCTACCTAGCGTGCTAGACATCTTACTTAATTTTTCCCAACATTGCAAGAGAATGGCACTCTGGCTATCCATCTCTCTTCACTGTAGTCATGAACAGAAATATATGTACATAAATTCCCCAAGATTCTCTTTCAGGTTTTCTGAAGCTTCATTTTTTTTCCAACCCCAGATCCAAATCCCTGGTTCAAACTGTAGTACACAATGATTTCAACATTTTCAACATTACATACCAGAAAAGTCCTGAATACTTTTAGGAACACTGTACTGTGTATTTTTTTGCCCTTCAGGGTTGACCAATGAGTACGTGTGTGTGTGTGTGTGTGTGTGTATATATATATATATATATATATATATATACATATATATAATGTATATACATATATATATAAAATACACACACATATGTAGATATAGTTTGTTTTAGAAAATCTATTCTACTTCATTTTTGAGACTAATTTTTTATCTCCTTAGTATAAAATTCCCTCCTCAGTCTACTTTGTTATTCTTTCATACACATCCTTGCTTATTTAGATACATACCTCAAAGAGATTCCTATTTCACATTCACCAAACAAACTCCCTCTAATATAGTGCAAATCTTATCTTTCTGAGAGCTCAACTCATTCTCTTTTCTTTCACATAAGGGATTCATATGGACACTCTTGTATTGGTTGGAATGTAATGGGGGGACTGACCAATGGGAGCCCTAGTCATTGAGGTACATAGACTATTCTGCCTACTGGATATTGATGTGGAGCCTTGGGGAGCCAGCTTTTGAAAATGTTTACTATTTTTAATGGAAAGACCCTGTTTCCTCACTCAGAAAATCCTATTGGCTTCTAAAAGCCAAAAACAAATAAAAACTATATTAACAAAAGGTTAAAAATGCTTGTTCTAAATATGTGTAAGCATAGTGAGCACAAGTGGCAGAGATAATTCACAGTTCCTGGATTCTGGAAGTTTTTTTTCTTCATTTGTGAGGTTTTCAAGAAGTTAGTCTTGAGAATGGGGAATCTGTATCCAATCTGTCCTTGGCTCCTAATGCTGACCTGCTGCCAGGCTGTTGTCCTGGGCGAGGGGAGGTGATGCTAGGATGCTGATGGGAAGATGTGAAGTCCAAAATCCTTTGGATCTTTTGAAGCTTGTAAGGTCTTCCTTTAAGAAAAGGAAGTTGAAAGAAAGGAAACCAGAGATGAGGCCTCTCCTCCTTTCACCATCCCCCACTCCACTAATTAGTTCCTTTTCAGAGGGTTTATTGGAATATCATACTTGCTGCACCTTTTTTTTATTGTATCCAGTTTTAACCAGCTTGATAATTTATAGATGATTGCTTGGGTATGGTCAAGATTACTTGGCCTATTCAAATATCATTGCAGTTTGAAAATCTTTTGACACATTATCTAAAGCTGACAGTTGATTGATTGAGGCTTTTGTCTTTAATTGGGCTGAAGTGATTTGATTGCATAAATATTGATTGACCCTGCCTTTGTACTTGTAATTTTAATTTACTTTTAATTACTAATAATATCTGGCATTTACTTTAAGAACTTAAAGTTTTCAAAACTGTTTACAAACTTACATTTCACTTGATCCCCCTAATTACCCTATGAAGTAGGAATTGGTAATCTCATTTTCCTTTTACAGATGAAGAAGCTGGGGTTCAGAGGTTAAATGATCACAGAACCAACAAGTATTGGAGGGGGGTTTTAAACCTAGCACTCTTCCAACTTCAAGTCTAATGTCCTCTCCACTGCTGAACACTGATGACATTATTTTAAATAACTGGAGCTGGAGAACTGGGGAGTACAGTACTAAAATCCTGATCTTTTGAAGTTTGGAAAGATATGGATTTTTTTATGTCAATATGACACTTTTGGTCAAAACTATACATCAGGGTATTAGAATCATTTAAAAATGGCTTATTAAAAACTGTTAGTAGCAAAATGCAATTGTTTCATGTATTTTTATTTTTAAAAGAGTTGGCTTATAAATTATAGAAATTTTAGTGATGAATACTGATTAAAGTCGAATATAATTTTATAGTTTACTGACAATTTGAAAGGCTGTTCAGAGTAGACTATTTATGCTACAATTTACAACTTTGGTATGTGTAAGCATCTCTTACTAAAAGTTGACTATTTTAGGGCTTTCTTTAATTTTGTTGCTTAAGTCTGAATTAGGGGATGTAGTTATTTTGAGATATTTTATTGGGCACACATAGACCATGCAACTGGATAAGAGAGAAAATGTGGAATTTAAAGTGTTAGTAAATTTATATGGTTGAGTGTGAGTATTCAAAAGAATTTTTTAAAGCAAAACTGTGCTTTTAGTTACTAAAGATGAGGGAGTTTAGTTTATGGAACCTAATATAGTTTAGATTATGCTGGTTGAACATTTTCCCAGCTGGCTTTCTTTCCTGGAGAATTGATGTCATACCACTGAAAGGAAGGAGAAAAAAAATAGAGTATCACATCAGCTCTTGCTAAAACATCATGCGTCAACAGCAGGACACTCATTACTTATGTGCAAATGTGCCATCTGCTGTGCATTGAGGAATTGCACAATATTGTTGCTCAATAAATTGCTTAGAAGGATTTTTCTTTTCTTTACTAAAAGGGAAAACATTGGGAGTATGTTGCAATTTGTGGTGATAGAGAAGAGAGATTGGATTTCACATTCATTTTACATGAATTTTGAAAAATGCAATAACACATAGTTAAGAACCATTTATTGATATTTTGTTCCATGTGCAAATTTGTTGACCAGGTTGGTGTAGATTGAAACTCCAGAAATAAAACATTCTACCTCCTGCCTTCTTACCATAGCTGTTGTCATGGTTCTGTCCTGAGCCCTCTTCTCTCTTTAAATGTGCTGCCTTGGAGGTTTTGTTAACTTCTATATTCAAGTATTATCTCTATGCAGATAATTCACAAATGTAAGTATTCTTTCTTTCTGCTCCTGACCTTCAGAATAACTGAAATGTTCCAAATCTCAATCTCAAACTCATCATATCTAAAATGTAGCTTCTTATCCCTACCCCCATTCCCACTCCATTTTTCTGACAAATTCCTATTGCTGCTAAAGGTACCATTATCTTCTCAGTTCAAAATCATAGCTACAGAGTCATTCTAGATTTTTCTCTCCCTCATCCACCACATCCTAATCTACATCTTTTCAATTTTACGTTTTTGACATATTGACTATGTCTCCTCTCCACTGAGACACAATCCCAGGCCAAGTCCTCACCACCTATCACTTAGACCACTATAATAGACTCCTGTTTGGTGTTTTTGGTTCTAATCTCCAATCTATCTTCTACATAGTGGTCAGAATAATCTTTCTGACACAGAAGTTTAAACATGTCCCTTCAATGGTTCTCAATCATTTACATAATAAGAATACAAATTCTTTAGCTTGACGTTTAGGCTGTCCACAATTTGTCTCCTGTTTACCTTTTCACTCATTTCATCATACTCTCATTCATGAATTTTATGTTTCAATCATATTGGACTACTACTTGTTCCCTAGATTTGACATCCCACCCCCTGCATTCCCACAACTCATTCACCATACCTGGAAAGCACTCTAGCATCATCCCTGCCTCTCAAAATTCTTGTCTTCAAGAACCAACTGATGTGACACCTCCCACACGAAGCCTTCACTGATGCCCCCAGCCAGTACTTCTTATTTTTCAAGTTACTTTATATTTACTAACATATGTATATAACAGGAATGTGCATTCCTGGAAGGCAGAGACTGTTTAATTTTGTATCCCAAATATCCCTTGTATGTAGTAGGCACTTAAAAAAAAAAGATAGTTTATAATTATTGACTGCCTAAAAGCCATGAGCAAAGAAAGAGCCTGGGCATTATATATCAAGGAATTATAAAGGAAAACTGCTTTGATATCCTAGAACAAAAGGGTAAAATAGAAGTGGAAAGAATCCACCAATCACCTACTAAAAGAAAAATTACCTGTAAGATAAGGGAAGAGTTTATGACCAAACAAGAGACAGAGAACATCCTAGGAAGTAAAATGGATAATTTTGATTATATAAAATTAAAAAGAGGTTGCACAAACAAAACCACTGCAGC